CAATGATGTATTTTATTTCAATTAAAACTAATCTATAGAGCATTGTATTTCTATTTCTATGGGTGTGATAAATATAGACAAAGTAAAGGACCCAAATAAATTTAAATATGTTATTCAGCTATTAATTAACTAACATAATATGTATTATTATTAGATGATTTGTACGTTTTAAAATAAATAGCAAATTAATATAAAATAATTTACCGGCTGAGCTATTCAAAACTGGTGACTAGGAGCTATTTAAATGCATGCTACAGATTATTCCAAAATATTGTTGGATACATACTTGGAATTTGGGTATACTGATTGAGGAATCAGTCTTTTGAACATCGCATACAAGGTTTTATAAAACATACTAGTATGTGAAGGATTAAAGTCAATCATCAAACACCTGATTGGTTATCAGAAAGACCTTATCATAAACCAGGTATTCACAGTATGTCAAATTTTTAAGCATATCTGACACACTATTAATAAGTCGGTTTTAAAGTACTTATGGCACTACGACTAGAAGCACTCTTTATGGCACTTTGTCTCAATTTAATATTCCAGCAAAACTTATAGCGAAAGAAAAATTGACGTTGAGCGCTACTACCACCTCCATGAGAATTGGTAAGACACTCATTAGAATTACAATAATGATGTTACGTTACTATTAACAGTTCTAAGTAATAATGGTTAATAAGAGAACCAGCGAAAACACTAAAAATGACAATTGAGAAATAAAATCCTCATTTGACAAACAAAAATCTCTAGTATTAAATGGAACGATAAGCTAGTCGTACATACTATATCACGACGTTGACATAATTAAATGCTTAAAAACTCAACGATTCGTTGCATAAATGGATGAAAAAGTGACTGACTCGGTACCCGGTGGTGGTAAAATAATCACATATTTACTAGTAGGATGAAATGAGCAACGTATGAATGTATTCGGTATTACCAATTGATGATAGTAAGTCACTGATCTGGTTAACTGGAAGCGACTACTGGACGCAACCAAGAACGATTTACATCGATGAAGGATAATTCAGGTTGAAGTTTAAAAATTCGACATTTTAAAAAAAATACGATATAATTATACCTCCAGACTAAATAATCAAATGTTACACTATATAGTAACTTTTATGAAAACAAATGTCAAAAGTAAATACGCCATCTGTGTGTGGTTCTTGTTAGTTTTTATATTGATAAAACTGAACATTTTCAAACCTCGTTATCTCGAAAGTAATCTATATCGACATATATGGTGGTAGAAAAATTTTATTAGAGTAGACGACTTTACTTCAATCCGTTGTCAATTAGTATTTTTGGCGCCTCAGAAGTAGTATTATCGCACATATTTTATAAATCTAATAACTGTAATTTAGCTATCTTAGAAATTGGAACTACTAACATTATTTTTTCTCTTGCTGGCTATTTACACTAACCTCAAAGACAAAATTGAGAAATGTATCACATGGATTACAAGAATTACAAGAATCTCTGCTAAAACCTTACCAGCTGTTGTGCTATACATATTTAATTCAATAAATTAACGAGAATTAAATAATTTGTACAATTGCAACAACACAGTTCTTAGTGAGAAAATTTTCAAATTACTTAAATACGCAGCAGCACCGACTAATTGATATAAATTATACATCCAATGCATTTAGCCATAAAAATATACGACTTCTTCCCTTCAACTTCTTTAAAACAATTAGTAAGCATATAAAATTTCAGCTGGAAACGTTAACTATGCCAAACGGATGAGCACAACCGAGTGGCCAGTCTCAGTTGCAAATCTTTACCCCACTTAGAAATGGACTCAGTGTAATACAAAACTCTTAGTTAACAGCATTTAAAATGGCAGCTGCGAACATAAATTTTCATCTGCTTTCCACCCATAACTCGAAGCTAATCTCTTCTGAGGAGAAGAAACTACATCTTTTCACTTAGCATAGTTTTTTATGATTTCGTAATATTTTTATTTCCATTTCACTCAACATTAAAAAGTTTTAATTTCTTTCTGCTTGAGTATCACTGTACAGTCTAAACTCTAAAATCAGCCAAACATGAAGTCACAACCGCAGATGCTGCTGGGCGCTGTTAATCGCTGTTGTTTGCAATTCAGAGTCCGTGCTTCCTTAGAGCCAATTCTGTATCTATTTCAGATTGTACGAGCACTGTAGTTTTCTGCTGAGCTTCTAAGCTGCTTCGAGCTCAGCACAAGAGCGGGATTTCTTTTTCTGCGGCGCGCATTTAATTATGCAAAGTGTCAGCTCAGCTTTGTTAATTCGCTTTCATTGCTTAAATGCAAAAATTATTATCAAAATTTTCACATTTTGCAATTTTCAACGAATTGCACGTTGTTTATTTTGCTAATTTAAATTCATTCCATTTGTTTGCTCTTTTAAATTAAATTTACAAACCGCATTGTCTTTTCATATATTCAAGTATCTGTTGCAGTAGAATGTTGGTAGCAGTGAGATACGATGTTCAGCTATGCATGATGAGGAGGAACCCAACATACTCAAAAATTATTTTACTCCACTAATAATTATTATTTGTACAATTAGTTAATGGTACTCTGAAATTAATTTCGAAAAAGTGTTCAATGATAGAGTAAAGTACACTATTATGAAGAAACTTTGGAGCCACACTACTCGGAATTTGTTTTACCAAAATACATTATTATATTTTCCGCCCACAGTAGAATATATCTTTTCTATGACTATAGTCAAATTAATGGATCAAAGGTCGAGGAAAATAATACCATCTCTTGCATAGCTGTCTATGTCGTTCCAGAAAGCGTCTGTTATATAATCTCTTATAGCTATATATATCTATGTGACATCAATAGATGTAGTGAAATTGTTCATAACTTCTAAAATCATTATTTATTTATTATTCTATTCTAAATTTATTATATAGCCTTTAAAGTACCACGTCCGATACAATATACTTTTGCCAACACTTTTTTCAATTCTACAGACAATCGTTAAAACTCAATTTATTGAATGACATACATTTCGTGCAGTGATTCGGTTTTTATCTCCTCAAGGTACACCTGCTGTAGTCTATTGAGCTTAGATAATGACCAAAATTCACACGGTGTTAATAAAACAATAGAAATAGAAACAAAAAAACAATTTGTTTTTTAATCAGTACTCATTGAACTCATTGCCCGACAGTTTTCAAGTTCAACGAAGAAATATCGTTCATTCTTAATTAACTCAAAGATATGTATTAAGTTTTTGGCGATATGGTCTCGAGATATGAATACAGTTTAAAATGATGTATTTTCGCAGTCTAAAACACAACAATTATCTACTCATAATTTTAACTTTTGTGATATTTAGGCTAACAAAAGAAACACGATCTTTAACTTAAGTAGAGAAAAGTTTATTTGCACGTGAACGGGATAGACAGTAAAAACAGAATAAGACCGGAAGCAAGAGAGAGCTTTTTCTAAAAAAACAAGTGTTCGCAATTAACAATAAAGGAAGTTACCTTTTGGTATAAAGAAACGCGTAATACTCAACACTAACCTTTTTCAGCAAATAGCTTCTCATCAACTTCGCATAACGATTAATTTTAATTCCTTGTTTGACGGAGTTTGACGGAAGAAGTTCATAATGTACCACTCCACTATAATCGAAAAAAACAGTTGACATGGCTTTGATTTTTGAACGGCTTTGGGAAGATCTTTTTGATCTTGGCTCATCTTTTTCATGTTATTAGCTTAATTGGTCGATACTTGCAACCTTACTTGCGAAAAGTGAAGATGAAGGGATCCTTATCCAAAAATCTGTATTACCACGGTAAGAAGATTATTATCAAATAATTTTGAATTAACACTTATCTAAAGTATCACAAGAGCCAATCGTTCACACGACTGACTTGTGGAGTCATGGAGTCTATCAAATTTTCTTAAATATTTTATCGTCTTATTATTATCATTTTAACACTTAAAGCGAAATATTTTCATTTACATTACATCAAATTTAACTAAACTTTGTCATTACTTATCTCAGAGTTAATTCTCTTTTCAACAGCAATAAGATCAGTAGCATTTTATACCGATATAAAAGTACTTTTTCTTTGAATGGCTTAATAGAAAATAATTACAAAGCAGCTGTGAAATGAAGCAATTTACGCAAATAGTAACATTTAGTTTCATCTTTCTCTGAATCTGACCATTAAAATCTCTTACTCGCAAACATTTCAATTGCCTCCAGTATTCACTAGCAACAGCTGCTGTAATGGAATAGTGCCATTCCCTTAAAAGGTTTTTAATGCTATTAAAATCAAGAAAATGATGATACCACAAAATGATGTTATTTGCGTGGTAATTTTATGCCGGTGTGGTGCACCAGCTACAGCTACAACTACAGCATCAAGTACATAACACTTCACTCCAAAGATGGAAACATGCATTTGCAGCAGCAGCAGCATTCGAAAAGTAAATTGCAATTTTAGTGGCATTAGAAACTGCAACTGCAATAAAAGTCAGTCAAGCAATTCCATAGTACATAAAAAGTATTTTGTCTTAATTTATGACTGCAAAAGTAACTAAACTCAGAAATTCCATGAAATTGCTTAGAATTGTTTCCTTAACTTAAATTGTCATCTAAACTGTAACAGATTGCATGAAATCAATTGTTATGCTAAGAGTGGACACAAAAGACATGGTATAACTTGAAAATATTTTTTTGAAGACCCCACAAAAACTTCACAAAATGGCGAATATTTAAGAAAACTTTATTCATAATATCAGAACTGCATCTACTGCTATAAAAACTAAAACAGTGGGCTCGGAGTAGTGTCCAAGTTAACTAACTGAAGCAGTACGTATCTTCATAGTTGATATTACATACAGATCACTGCACAGATCCTCTTCAACTCTGGAAAGTTATCTATATGGTTGCTTTAACCAATGAATTACTATATGAAGCGATATATATATTGGATATTAATATTAATTGCAAAAATTATTGAAAATCGTAGGTTTATTAAACTAGAGTATATAATAAAAAACCACATTTGATGATTATTTAGCAAATTTGAGTGACATATCAGGAAATATTGTGCGAAGAACCCTGGCATCAACCTTCAACAATCGATTGTTACGTTTTGAAAGCCAATCTTCAAACAACATTGCTTCGATTAAAAGGCGTTCCGGTATTTTGCATTTCCTGTTGATTTCATCAAATAAAGCGTACGCATCTCTGCGAGTTTCTTCAAGTTTTTCGTGTACTTGCTCTTCTAAAATATTTGGATTTTGACCACTGACCAGAAGACAATGACTATAATTGTCATCCTGTCCGTATTTATTTTCCAACAATTTTAATTGATAAGACATTTTGTTGAAAATATAATTTGCAATGCTATCATGCGTACTAGTTGGTTCATAAATATGAAACACCTTCCCGTACAAGCGCACAAAGATCGTACGCAAACGTCGGTAGACAAACAGCACCAAAGATACAATTAACCAAAAAATTTTAATGAAATACTGTGAACAAAAAGCTTTTAAATACAAACTTAAATTTTTTTTTCTAACACAAATTACCATTTTCCACATATTTACATACAAAATTATAGCTTTACACAATGGTATACTGCAATCCTTCCTTAAAATTTATGATATATAATCTATGGTTTTTTTATATCGAACAGTATATATCCTTCCTGCTCTTTGCTGTCAAATATTATAAAGCATAGAATACGGAGTTGAAGATAATCAGATGTATAAATTTTTCATAATAGTATAACGCTCTACAAAACTATAGAATTTGTTAAATGCTTTTCAATAAGTTAGAGCGAAATAGATATAATGAATATATAATGAAAAACTAATATTGATTTTTTTGTTCATATAAAATTACCATCTCAAATTTTTATTAAAAAAAAAATTTTGTATAAATACATTAATTATGATTCAGTAATATGTAATCATAATTTAAATTATTTATTTATATCACAAATATATAAAGAAATAAAATTCTAACTTCACTGATGCACATATATTCTTGAATTTATATATAAAAAAATTGTTGATGTTTTCTTTGAATGTCTACATATTTTTAATTGTCAATTAAATATTGTTAATTATAAAATTAACAATTAAAAATGTTTATTATTTCGCGCCTTATTAATATCTCTTTGTTATAACATCATTTTGGAACATCATCATCATTCAGCAAGTGTACGCATAGTATTCATTATAGATTTACAGTATTTGTAGTAGAGATACATTGGAATAAATACTGGATCTGTTCCACGAGCTACTAGTAGTAAAATTCAAGTAAAAGATAAGTAAAGTACAAACTGAGACCGTAGCACAAATGAAATACTATATTTCGCTCTTTACACAGATTTTCATGGAACAGCTTTGTGCAAAGTCTGGTAAGAATTCAAACCTAAACAGCTGATTAGCATCAACACAAATTTTACTTGAAATAAAATGTACGAGTAAGTCTGCGTAGCATTTTCTAATTTCGACAGGGATGTTACGCTCTCTCAGATGCTCTCATTTACTCGAAAATTTGCTGGTGGAACACATTTGTGTGTACGCAGTGCTACTCAAAGTTACTACGAGCAACTCCTGGAACAGACCTACTATTCCTAAGTTGAACGTAATATTGCAAATTATAGTAAACTCAAGTACTGCAATTTTATAAGAAGCTTATCTACCTCACGGTCCCTATTCGGCAGCAGGGTTTAATTAACCCAAGTTAATTATAATTACCATCCAAAACATTTAATTTAAAGTTTGCCATTTTACAATATAATTCATTAAAGAACCGCTGAATGTGTTATAATTGTGAAGTCATTATAAAATAATGATTATATTATATTTAAGTTTCCTTTAGTTATTGTTGAAAAATTATCCCAATTTTTAGTTGATGACATTTGATTGGTGTTGTGATTTATAACTAATCGAAAGTCCAAATAATACATTGATATAAAATTGATTAAAATCCACTATATGTATAAACTGGTATACTCGTATATTTCAAAAATATTCCAGCAACTGTTTCAGCGTTCAATCTGTACATTTATGTACCATGAACCAACTTCATTCAATAGTCAAGTCGTCTTAAGCACATCGTATCCACAAATATGTCGTTTTATTCGATTTTTGTAGACATTACCAACCATTGCATCATTAAGGTAAACATACTTAAGTGCTACCTCTTCCACTACATTGTTTTGTAAATAATGTAACATTTGTTCAATTAACCATAAAAGGTCAACTAAAGTTTCAACAAATTATTTGCTTCAGTTTAGTCTTTCCTCTTGTGCAGATGCTGATCATTGGTGGATTGTTGTCTTGTGTTTCCACAAAATACTCGACTCATTAAGTTGGAAGGTAGTACACAAATATTTGTCAAAGACAAAAGTTCTTCCTATGTATTGATTAACTCAGGTAATCAGTTTATGATGACATTTAAATAAAATAAAATTAACATAATTAGGTGATTAATTTGCGTAAAATTACTTTCAAAATAATACTGTTTAAGAGAAGTTTAGTTTTTTATTATAAATACAACAAAGTTTATCTACTTCAGCATATACTAAAGCATATACTAGGGGTATTTTGAAACGATGTACATATGGCAATCTGAACTATTTTAGAGTGTAACCATTTTCTTAGAAATACAAAACGGACTGCAAGGATTCGAACTGGAATTCCTTAAGCACAGAAACTTTTGTTTACTTTCAAAATATCTTCAAATTTTGCACATTTTGTAACTATTTCAAATATTTATAAATCTAAGTTGCTGAGAAAATTAGGCGTACAAGCAGTTGGAACAAGATTTTAGTCCTTCATAAATCCTATCCGTTTTTACTTGCATACCATTTTTCACATTTTATGGTTTCCACTTTACGACAAAACGTTTTTTGATTTCTTTCGATGCTTTTTTTCTGTCTTTATCGTTTAAAGGAATTTTTATGTTTGCGCTTCTTTGTTGGCGGCTGGCTCAAGAAGTATCTTGCCGACATTGTCATAAATCTCATTGCAAAATGCCGCACATTGTAAAGTGTCACCTCATGAGAATTACGCTTTCTTAATTTTGTACCGCGTAAATGCACTTGCAGCTCGCAGATCGCAGCTTGCAGCTTGCAGCATCCAACATGCAACACAAGTAGCGCAGCGCACATTCTGTTATAATTTATGTCCCTTTTTGTTGCCTCATAAGAACATATTGAAGTAATTTTACTGTCTCTTCAGAAGTAAGGTTTTTTTTTTTGGTTATGGAGTGATTATTATAATAAATTATTCATGGTTGCAACATCAATTGCATTCTTAAAATTCACTGCAAATTTCACTGCTTTTTATCACTTACCGCAGCGAAGAAGTTAATTTCTCTTTTGGTAGCTTTTATGGCTCAATTAGTCTATATTTAGTAACATTTAAAATCCTGTTATACTATTAAGTATAATTATAAAAAATATCTTGAGACTTGACAGTAATATTAAATATTACTCATCTAATTAGTTGGTAAATTGGATATCTTTATCCATGCAAATCTTCCGCAGTTAAGAGTTAATGCTTTATACCAAAACTACTGCAGTCTATTTGTGCAACAATTTATCAGAGTCATGAGTATTTATGGAGCAATAGTCTGAAAGAATTGCACAAAGTAGCAAACGATGTTTAACACATTCAACAAGATACAAAGACTGAACCGTGTAAATTTTATGGAAACCATATAAACGACGGCATACGTTAAGATACACCTAGAACTCACACATCTTCACATTTATATATAATCGCCAGCAAAAAAGAATTTTCTGTAGAAAATTTAAGATTATATCGGCTCGGGTAGTTGTCTTAATTGGAACATATTTGGTATCTGCGCGATATACCATATACTCAATATTAAGGTCCATAAAACCATTTAAAACTAAACTTCACAATGAAGATAGTTGGGATGGTATGTCTAAAATACGCAAAATCAATCAGAATACGCCAAGTAGATATACGCGACTGAAATATTCGGAAGTGCAGGATTAAAATACAACTATATTTCAAGAAGAAATGTATGCAATAGCCAGGTGTGTATACTTAAACCCTAAACATATAATAACCATAAGTAAATCCAATACCTAAGTGAGCATATCATATCGGATGAAGAAATAAAACATAGTAATGTGGGTTTAATACTACAATTTTTAGAGGAAGTTAAACGTGAAGAAACACTCTAAATTCATGAAGCGGACACAATAAAGCACTAGATCGTAATGTAAACTCCACTAACAAAATAATAATAATAAAATAATGGAAGATATTTTAAGCAAATTTGTTTGTGCGGTTATAAGTAGAATGTTGAAACAGATATATCGGATCCACAACTAATATATATTAAGCCGTATTTAAATAATTTCCGAATGAAACCTAAATACTGTATTATAAGGATTTCCTTTATTACATTTTAATTCTGTTTTCAATGAAACGCTTTAATTTAATGATGTGTGTAGTCGTTTAGATAAACCGAAATAATTAAAAATATATGCTTCCCTCCAGAAGCAGTTATGAGTTCGTAAATATAATTAAACTCACGAAATTTTCATGCCCTCTTACTACTAAAGTAGTACTTTAAGAATATCGAAACTGTTATGAAGTTTTTCGGAAACAAAATTATTTTGCCTAAACAAATTAATACAATTTTTTGACTTCAATGAATTAATAAAACAGCTCCATTTACTAGGTATATCTTAATACTAACAATCAAATAACACAATCATTTAATTAATTATCATATCCATGAATTCGAAGAAACAACTGTTCCCTATAATTACTTTCAATGATACTCATACATCTAGTCCTTTCAATTCACAGTGATACATACTCGTACACTATCTGTCTTAATTACTTTAAATATTGTTACTTAACCAACAATGATAACTAACTAAACTCATTAGTATAAGTTGTAGTAGTGAAATGAATGACATGGCTCTGCATTTTATATGAAAACATAATTAATCAAATAGAGCTACGGAATTTAATAACTGAATAACTTACATACCTACATACATTTTGTCTTCACATCAAAAATTATTTATCCTATAATTTACAAACGACTATTATTATGAAAATACATATATAATAAGCACGAAAATAGTAGTTAATAGGAATAATACCGAAAAAGGTGTTGTGAATTACAAATCTGCACTAAAGCGGATAACTTACCTTTAGACGATCCAAAATTGTGGGTCACACTAAGATCAAATCATTCTAAAACCACAATAAATAAATCATATCTGAAAGTAATTAAAAAACTCAAGATTCATTCGAAGTTATAGACTAAGTCGAATATCTCGGAGTAAACCTCAACGATACCGAAGATACAAGGATAACCATTTAAGCATGAATAAAGAGAACTACTAAGGCTAACATTGCACATTTAATACTTCCTATGCCCAAAATCTTGCTACGCAATTTATAATGAACATTAGACCCACTTATTGGACCCATTTTTGTATATGAATTCCAATCCTGTGCACTAAAAAGTGGGAACATTGAGAAGCTGCTCATTAATTACCTCAAACACTACAAATTCCAACGCATAAGATGGTTAGAATACATAGGTATTTCTACCGGTCGATAGAGTAG